AAAAAAAAGGTTATATATTATATTATTCTATTTATATGACCTTCTGGAAAAGAGAAAATGACAGTAATGGGGAACAGATCAGTAGTTGTCAGGTACAAAAGGAATGAATGCCTTCATGGTAACAACCAATCTGTCCTGATTGTGAAAATGATCACATGAATCTATAATCATAGAACTGCACACACCCCAAAATTAAGTTTTACTGTGTGATAATTTTAAAAATAAAATTAAAGTGACCAAAAAGCTGAGTAAAGTTTAAGAATTAAGTGGACACTTTTTTACATACAGGAAGTGTTTGCAAAAAAACAGCTTTTGTTTTAGTTTATATTCTTCACTGTACATGTTATTATGCCCTTGTCTTTATTATTTCCTTGCTTCTACTTTCCCTAGATTTGATTTGCTGTTCTGCTTCTACATTTTGTTTTTTTGTTGCTTGTTTTTTTTAAAGATTTTATTGGGGAATTGGGGAAGGGGAACAGTGTTAGGGAATTGGGGAAGGGGAACAACCAAGTTGTTGTCCTTCAGTCTTAGTTGTGGAGGGCGCAGCTAGCTCAGCTCCAAGTCCAGCTGCCAGCCGGCCGCCCGACGGCTGCTCACGGCCACTCAGCTCAAGGTGCTGTGTTCAATCTTAGTTGCAGGTGGGCGTAGCCAACCATCCCATGCGGGAGTCGAACCAGCAACTTTGCTGTTAGTACATGCTCTCACCAGCTGAGCCATCCTGCCACCTTTTGGCAGCTCAGCAGCAGCTCAGCTCCGGGCAGCTCACTGGCCCATGTGGGAATTGAACCAGTGACCCTGTTGCTCAGAGCTCGTGCTCTTAACCAACTGAGCCACTCAGCTGGCCCTGTTTCTAGTTTTTTTTAACTGGAGGTTTAAATCATTGATTTTAAGCCTTTCTTCTTTTTTGGATTCACGCATTTAAATCTATAAATTTCTCTCTAAGTATTGCTTTAGCTGCATCTCAAAAGTTTTGGTATGTCATATATTCATTACCATTAAGTTCAAAATATTTTCTAACTTTTTTTCTTCTTTGACTCATGAGTTATTTACAAACTACAACTCAGACAATGATATGAATGAGTCTCACAGAAATAATGTCAAACATAAGAAGCCAGGCAGGAGAAGAAGACTTCTGGGGGCAGCTCATATTGTTTCTTGACCTGGGTGCTGGTTGCACAAGTGAGAGAGTTTGTAAAAAACTAATCAAGTTATCCACTTTTGTGTATTTTAGATTTCACTATAAATTTTTTTTTTAATACGACAAATGATAGGGAAGGCACTTGACCATAAGAAACTTCTCCTAGCCACAACCCCCAAATTTCGACCAGACCAGACCGCTGGGATCCTGAGCCCGGTGCCATGGGTCACTAATGGAAGAAGACACTCACCTCCCACGCCGGTCTTCTGCTGGGCAATATAGGACTCAAAGCGCAGGCGGAAGCGGTTCTCACCACCCAAGCGGCCGTGGGTGCCATCATCCACCAGGAAGAAAGCTGAGTAGTTGTAGTCCAGCGGAAACTGAATCCCGTCCGCCGGGTCACCGCGCCACCGGTAACGTGCAGGGAACGAGCCCTAGTGGCCAAGTGGCCAGACCAGGAAGTCTTTCCATCAGGGCCAGGAGGACAGAAACCCTCCTCTCCTCCCTCAGACCCAGGAGTCCAGGCCCCCAGCCAACCTCTCCTTTTCCAAGACCCTGGACTTTACCTTGGGGTTGGTGAGGTTCTCTCTGTTCCGAACCACACCCCACGGAGCCACACCCATGGCCACCACCTTGGTGCCCCCACTGCTGGCTGTCTGGTGGTCCCGCACAGCTACACCAACATGCCGGCCAATGCCTGNGGATGGATGGATGGATGGATGGATGGATGAAAGAGGAAAGGATGGATGAACAGATCCAACAGAAAGTAATGTTAGAACGTAATGAAATTATCTTGGCAAAGTTATCCAAAAAGCACCATGCAAAGCCCCAAGAAACACTGCAAAGGGGAATGAAAAGAACAAGATAAAAAGGGGCACTACTTTAGAGAGGATGGATAAAGTGCCCGGGTCAGGAAATATGTCCAAAGTTGAGTTGAGAAAGGGGGAGAATTTAGGGGTCTAAGTCTTACCCTTGACAAGGGCCCTCAAAACGATGGTCTCAAATTCCTCAGGGCCATCCTCAGATGAGTAGACTGTGAGCAGCTCCTTCCGGGTCATGATCCTCTCCACCTGCAGAATACCAAATTCTGCATCCCCAGCCCAGCTCCACCTGGGCCCTGTCCACAGAGACATGGGAGGCCTTCAGAACCTAGTAGCTAGGTGCCCAGAACCCTCTAGTCCCAGAACCCAAGAGTCTAGGCCCCCAGGCCTTAGACCCAGGAGTCCAGGCTCCCAGCCCCTCCTCCCTCAAATCCACGAGTGTGGGCCCCCATTACCCTCTTCCCTTGGATCCAAGACTCCAAGCACTCAGCAAGCACCCTCTTCTCTAAGACCCAGGAGCCCAGGTCCCCAGCTCCCTTCCATCTCAGGATCCAGAGTTGGGCCTTCAATGTCATACCTGGGCGTGCAGGACCTCGGGGTCCCCTTTAGGGAAGAAACGCCTAATCCGATCTTGTGCTTCACCTCGCCTGCCCCCTCCACTCCCTGGAGCCAGAGTGTCTTCCAGGATCTCTGCCAGGCAGTCTGCAGCTCCCCCAGACCCAGCCACCAGGAGGCAGGGGAGCTGAGCCTGGGTGGCATTCTCTATCCGCTACAAGATAAAAGGGGCAGTTAGGTCAGGGAAGGCAGGTATTCACCCCACCTGGAATCCAAATCCCCAGCCCACGCCTCAGGGCCCAGGCCTCCAGCCACCTCCCAACTTAGACCAAGGCATCAGGTGCCCTATACCTTCAACATCTTCTCATTACCACCAATCAGGAGAAGGAGGACAGGGATGTCAATTCCAGTCCCTGAGGAGAGAAGAGAGCCAGGGGTTTGGTCACCTCCCATCAGCCTTTGCCAGGGATGGGAGAGAACTACATTTTCCCAGGATTCCCTGGAACAAACGTTGGCTTCTGCCTAATCCTCTGCCCTGAGGCTCATGGGAATTGTCATGTCTTTGAGCACATTGGGAGGGGCCAGATTTTGAAGACAGTAATGCTCAGCTTCCCAAGGAAGAGGGGGCTGGGGTTCCTGAAGGAGGAAGGTGTTTGTAGTATAAATCAATCCTATAATTGATTAACCACCTGGAAGCCAGGAGAAGATGAAAGTTCAAACAGAAAATGAAGGACATAAGGAAAAGGAAGAACTATCCAAATACAATAAAGATATTTGCCAAAGTCCAACAGCAAAATTATATAAGATAATTTTCTACTAACTCTATTTCCATTAAAATAAGAAAAAGGACAACATTACTACTAGTCACACTCATCCAGGAGTAATAATGTAAAAAAATTAAATATTTGGAATAAAAACTGGTATTTTTTTAAGCTGGAAAAGGCAAAGGTATCTGTTTTTTTAAAACATGATTTACAGTCTCAGAAAGTTGTAGAGACTCCACTCAAAATAAATAAATATTAATAAGAGAATTTGGTAAGAGAATTGATATAAGAAAAATACACAAAATCAGAAACTTTTCTCCAAACTAGTAATAATATGTATCCTATTCCTGTTTGGATAAAAAATATAAAATCCTGGGCCAGCCAAGTGGCGCGATGGTTAAGAACTCGCTTGGGATGCCAGAGGGCCCCGGTTCGGATCCCACATATGAGGGCCAGTGACACT